ACTGAGCTAAATCCCCAGACCTTATACATATATTTAAATTCTTCATATATAGGTTCCATACAAAAATGAAAAATAAAATATTATTTTTGGAAATGTCAAAAAGAATCTAAGTAAGCAATGGCCTATACTATTCTGATAAAATTGAAAGGTGAGTTCACTGGAGCCACAGAAAGGCTTCCCTTAATTGATATCTCCTTTGCCAGCTATTTTAATGCCTTGACACCATGGGAAGCATCAGAAAAGCGGATCAGAACCTGTGACCATCTACCTGAAGGGTTTATGTGTTTCCAAGAGGGCAGGTGTGCTCTGTGGTCTGAGGACTGTGGGGGGGAGTATAGGACAATTTTGAGATGACTCCCCAAGCTGGGAGAGCACTCAGCCATTACTGTGTTCAGTGAGCTATGGTTGAGTTGTAACACTGATCTTCCAAGACCCAGAAATTGTGATAAGCCAGGCCACCTTCCCTTACTGGGTCAGCTTATATCCTTCTCATTCTCTTTCTGACTTGTGAGCAGCTAGGGCAGGGAACCCAGGAACAGGCAGTAAGGTCTTATTTGAATGTAGTGACCTCCCCACCCACCCACGGAAGGTCTGGGATATATAAAGAGATGTAGCAGAGCTTACTGTCTTTAAAACAGAGCTGTAGAAAAGTCAGCACTATGGATTGGGCTCCTTTGCTCCTTACCTTCCTCAGTCTCTACACAGGTGAGTATGGACCTTAAATGGACAGTGGGAGATTCGCATCTAGCTCTGCTCTAGGCCCACACTCTCTGGCTCAGTTGCAGTCTTCCTGTACTCACAGACTTCTCTGTGCCTCTTACAGGGTCCATGGCTCAGGCGGTGCTGACCCAGCCACCCTCATTATCCAAGGTCTCAGGAGAGACGGCCATACTTACCTGCACTGGAAACAGCAACAATGTTGGCTATGAAGGAGCAGGCTGGGTGCAGCTGCAGCAGCAGGGCCAATCCCCCAAAACCCTGGTCAACAGGAATAACAACCGACTCTCAGGGATCCCAGAGAGATTCTCTGGCACCAGATCAGGCAACTCAGCCTCCCTGACCATCACAGGGATCCAGCCTGAGGATGAGGCTGATTATTACTGTGCAGCATGGGACAAAAGCCAGAGTGCTTCCACAACATGTCAGGTCAATGGAGAAGTGAGACAAAAACCCAGGAGCTCCCATGACACACAAATACATGAGAAGTGAGACAAAATGCATGAGAACATGGGGACCTTAAAGCATGTTTTAAACTGAACCCAGAAACAGACAGAGACCATGTTTCAAGTGACCATATTATGTAGTACTCAGAAATATAAAAAATAATGTAAGTTAAAATGATTTGCCCAACATTATGAATGCATATAGGTAATGTCAGTGTATTTTGATGCAGTCTGGAACCAAGACCTCCCATCCAGAATCACTGTGAATGTGATGGCTTCATCTTGTGCTCTGTAGTCTTAGCAGGAGGCTGAATATTATAGACTCAAGATAACATCCAAGGGCTTGGATTGTGTCCTTAGCCCTGGGGGTAGTGATCTAACACCTCACCAAGACAGTCACTTCTGTCACCAATTACTTGAATAGTTGAGGTCACAGCATTCACTTGAGTCTTTAATATCTATTCCTTTTCAGTCAAGGCTTTTCCTTAATCTTTGCTATTTTAAAAAAAATATTTGCATAGCAATGCTGCATAGTATTAAAGATAATGGATAAGTTTCACTTTTCCCAATCTTACTGAAAATGCTCCCCTTTAAGTCACATTCTGCTTGTGGTGTGTGTGTGTGTGTGTGTGAAAAATCACATCATAGATAAGTCTGCATGTTTCTAAATCCTGGCCTATCTTTTGTTAGGAATGGTTATTAAACTTGGCCAAAGACTTTCTCAGAATTTATTGAGATAATATGAAGTCAACTTCTGATCTATTAATATGGTGTATTATGTTTAAAATATTTCACAATACTGGACAAAACTTTAATAGCTCCCACACATGGTACTGTGTTCTAAATCTCCTACATCTTTGATGGGAAGGGATAGGCATATGTTGTTCTCCATATTCTTTGCCAAGTATGTATAAAAGAAAAAGGGATAAATAGAAAAAATGCAGATGTCAATTTGAAATTCAGCTGTTCTCCATTGCCACACAACACCGCAGATTAAAATAAATTAAGAATCAATTGACTAGAACTCCAGGATTTTTGTTTGGTTTTGATAAGTGAGATTGAAATTTTTCTTTCAGCTTGTTGTTATTTTTTTTGTTTTGGTTTGGTTTTTTGCTATAATGGGTGCATGTTTAGAACAAAATTTTTGAATTATATTTTCAATTTTAAACAGTCTTAACTGCAACAGCTTTTGAGTTTGAATCAGATTTTTTTCTTTCAATTTCTCTTTGGAAGGGTTGATCCTAACATCTACAACTATAATATCAGGCTCATATGGGGCTAGGCACTGTTTTAACACATTGATTCCTGGAAGGTAGGGACTGTCATTTTACTCTTAAGTAACTTTCTGTAAATAATGTAACTTGGAAGGTCTCTCTACACACATGTGCTGTGTCCAGGAGAAGAGATTACTACAAATTATGGGCTGGTGAAGGTATAGGAATGACTGTCATAGACAAGTCTGTAGAAATATTGACAGATCATAAAGATGTACCTGTGTGACACTTGTAGGAAGGCACAGTCAGTTTATTCCCAATAATCTGACTGTTCCAAGAAGAAGAAGAGCTCCCTTTTTACTCAGTGTCATGGGGGACACACAGAGGAAGGAGAGCTCTGGGGATGAGGGAGAAACCACATCAGAGGAAAGAAACAGGTTTCCTGTGTAGCTGGGGACATATCTGTGGGTCTGGCCACTGTGATATGCTCTTGATCTAAGAAGTTGTGTGGATACCATCTCAGTCCTGTCAATGAATAGTTCAGGGAGGTATGGACATATTTACCCTTGAAGGGTCCAATAGAACAACAACAACAACACCCCCTCCCAACAAAAATACAACAACCTGCCCTCAACTAGAAGTAGGCCCACCTAGCTGGAACCTGAGGCAGGGGAAGTGTACAGAGATGTAGAGGCTCAGGGCTGTCTCTGAGGGGACACCATGCCTCGAAATGGTGTGTCTGGGCTTAGATATCAGAGATTGCTTAGGACCTGTTCTTGAGAGATCTGGGGATGGCAGAGCTGAGACAAATCCTCAGGCTCTGCCTGCTGCCTCTGCTCATGGCTTATAGCTGTGAACTTCCCCAGCCCTTAGTCCCCCTGGACCCACTCTTGCCCACCTGCTGACATCCTCAGGCAGAGGAGCTTAGACCAGAACTGAGGGTGGAATCAGAAACCTGGTGTGGACCACATTTGCCTGAGTGGACTCTCCCCCACTAGTGTATTAAGAAGGCATTGTAAACACTAGGAGAAAGCTCTGCTTAGCTGTGGGGCATAGAAAGAAGGCCTTTGGAATGATCACCATGGCCTTGTCCCCTGCCTGGGTGACTAGATAGAGGGAAGAAAAAGAGTCTCAGAAGATAATGGGGGGCTGCTTTCTCTTTTAGCCTCTAGACCCAGAATTTCTCACTATGCTTCTCCTACTTCCAGGGCCTGGGTCTAGACTGTGCTGACTCAGCCACCCTTGGTGGCTGGGGCTATAGGACAGAAGGTTACCATTTCCTGCCCAGAAAGCAGCACCAGTATTGGGGAGGGCTGTGCTGTAAACTGGTACCAACAGCTCCCTGGAAAGTCTCTCAAAGCCCTCATCTATGACAATGGTGTTTTTCCCTAGAAGTTCCTGATCCCTTCTCCAGCACCAAATCTGGTAGCTCAGTCTCCAAGACTATTATGGGTTCTAGTCTGAGGATGAAGCTGATTATCAGTGTCAATCCTGTGATAATAGCTGTGATGACCTCAGTGTGCTCCAGGTCCATGGGAAAGTGAGATGCAAAACCTTTTCTCATCTGCCAGGAGGGTGGATTCCGGACAGCACCTATTCAGGCCTGGCCTCTGGCTTCTACTGCTGCCACCACTGTGAATCCAACCCATTTAGGTGAGAATAGTTACAGTTCATTGTTTTAATGTACAAGAGTTTTGGAATATTAAAAGTTATGTTTATAATTACCCACACAAAGAGCTATAATGTTTTGGATTTGTTTTAATATTATTTGGGAAGGGAGTTAGGTAAGGGGTAAAGAGGAATAAATGGAAAAATTAAATAATAAGAGCCACATTCATGATGATTGAAGCCGAAAGATTGATGCAGAGCATTTATTGGGCTCTTCCCTATGGGTTTTGTAACGTAAATTCCACAATGACAAATGTATAAAAATAAAAGAAAAAGACTATCTCTTATGAGGAGTAAATGTCTTGCTGTAAGCAGATGATCAAATTTCTAAAATGGTATCTGTCACCATGGCCACACATGAAGACTATCTCTTCCAAAGGGAAGTTACCTTTGAGACCATGCAAGTAACAGGAGCTCAGGATCTCCAGGACAGAGAAGTGGGTGAGGTTGGAACTCCCAGGCAAAGACAGGGGCTGGGAGGGGGCCAATGTTCTGAGACCTACCTGCAGAGTTTGGGTTTTATGTAAAAAATAGTGAGGCATCACTGAAGGATTTAATCACTGAGATTAAATCAATCACTGAGTCTGAATGAGAGGAGTCTCTCTGGGTGCCTTTAGAAGAGAAGCAAGGGGATTCTGAATTATTTCTAGAAAGACCATGTGAGTTGAAGCATTTGGGGAGCATTTGCGCAGTAAAAGCAGATTTGGATATATAGACAATATGGAAATAATAATCTCTGCATCTGTCTACTGAGGCACTCAAATCATGCACACACACAAAGAAAAATCAGTCATATGTCACACCAGCTTCCTACTAAACCAGAAGTGTGAATAAGAAAACACAGCTTTGGAAACCTCCAGTTACAATAAAAACAAAATTGGCAACAACTGGCAAAATCCTAGGAAAATTTGTAATGTAAATATGCAGAAGGCTA